AGATTTTGTTCAGAGGAAAAAATATTATCAGACAAAATATCAACATTTCTTTGCTTTGTTAAACATCATTTAGGAAATATTTTAAAAACAAAAAACAAAAAACAAAAGGGGGCTAATAAATCTGTATATATATTTACGGTAATTTTTTAAATGTTTAAGGAAAACTATTCAGTTCATCAAGGCTATATTTATAAATGTAAAAAATGTGTAATTGTTAAATATTTATTAAAATTTTAAATAACTGCTTTGTTATTGTATTTAGTTTCAAATAAAATAATTACTCCAGACATTATTGATTTTATAACTATTACCATTAATAAATATAATAATAATTAATATTAGTGATTTCTGAAGGATCATGTGACTGGAGTAATGAAGCTGAAATCTCATCTTTAAAATCACTGGAATAAATGAATAAATTAAATGATAAACTACTTTTGAACAGTTATTTTATAGTGCAACATTTCACAATTTGTATTTATGATGAAATAATTGCAGCCCTGGTGAGCAGAAGAAGCTTGTTTTAACATATTTAATCACACTGACTCCAAACTTTTGTGTATTGTGTATAGAATATTTTATAAGTGAAAATGTGCACTTTAATTTTAACAACCCACAGACATCGTCACCAAATACAAATCGAGGTCAGACTTTCTCATATATACAGAGCCTCATTTCAATTGTCAGGTTTTGTAGAAATCGATCAATTGAATTAATCAATCTATTAAAGAAACGTTGACTATAATTCTGTATTTTAGGCTTAAATTATAGAGAGATATAGCAGATGAACCGAGACTGCATCAGATCAATGTAAATCTTTCTTTCGAGCTGTCAGTGCGGAAATGAACAAAACAACAGGCCTAATACAACATATTATACGATTAAAATATGGAAAAATTAACAGATAGTAATTTCGGTCAATTTTCCTGACGGATAAACCGAGATCAGGCTGGACAAACAGCTCTCGGTAATATTTCAGCATGCTTTCACTCGCATTTACCGGTAAGAATGACATCTCGCCCTGCTCATCATTCCCTCTTCATATAGCCGTATATATGGCTATTACACGATCATGATACACTGTGATATAGCCTGGGTCGTTAGTTTGTTGCATTGTTTTGTTTTCTCGCTACAATCGATACGCTCAATAGGACAGAGACCGCGTCTCATTCAGGCGATCTTGGACTGATTGATTTGGCGCGGAAGCGAGCGCAACTGCTGGATATATGCTAAAAAAACGCGCTAACGGGTGAAACGAGACAGATTCCGAAACAAACGTCTATGTGTGAAAGCACCGTAAGATTGTATTTGCACACAATTGACAGACAGTCGCAGCACGCAGCTCTGGCTCGATCTGGCAGGCAAAAAGGCAGCAGCTGGCCCGATCGAGCCAGTAACATTTTGTACACTGGCCCGAGTGTCTCGCACGCTGGCCCCGGGCCATCGGGCAGTCCTTATTGTCGAGCCCTGGCTCATAATATCGAGTGGAAAAAAAGAAAAAGACCGCTGGGAAGCATAACCTGCTTTGTTTTTTTTATTTATTTTTTTAAAAGAAACACAGTTTAGATCTGTTTAGGATAAGAGGAGTGTGAGTTATTGCCACCTATCATTGAATGTGAATATCGAAAACAAAACCAACTTAGCTTAACTCCTTTACCGCCCCTCACACAGCTTGATCCACGCTGGCATTTCTCCTCTTGGGCTTTGGTTTTGAAAAGGGAAAAAATCCCACCACCCAGTCCAAACTTTTAGGATAGCGGGTGTCAGATTTTCACAATCCAATTGCGCAACGATTTGGCTTGTTTCCTTCGCTCGAAAGCTTGACAGAGCCTCTGCCCGTAGCTACGATTGGTAAGCCGCGATTGGTGGGTGGCGGTTTTTGGGCGTGGCTTAGCGAAGGGTCAGTTTAACAGGAGGATCCCGTGAGAGCAAAAGCACTAAAGGTATGAGACGCCATCGTAAACAAAAGTCAAGCGAACGCAAAGAGACTGAATGCACGAGAGAGAGAGAGAGAGAGAGAGAGAGAGAGAGAGAGAGATGTATGTTGTGTGAGAGAGAGAGAGAGAGAGAGAGAGAGAGAGAGAGAGAGAGCGAGAGCGAGTATTGGCACGCGAGTATTGGCTCCATCTCAAGTTCAAATTCAAATTCTCTCTGCGTTCGCTTGACTTTTGTCCACTCCTGCGCCTCATAGTAGTCACGTTGGATACTGTCGAATCAAAACAATCTACCGTGCTTCGATTGGACGTCATACCGAAAGCGCGCATGCTCACACACACGCGCGCGCATGCTGTCACACACACGCACACATAAACGGGGAGAGAGAGAGAGAGCGGTCCATGTCAACATACTTTTTTATCGTTGGGCTTTTCATGGGAAGCAGCAAGTCTTTACAAGTCAATAGGGGCAAGTCCTAGTCAAAGTCCAAGTCATTTATGTTCAAGTCCAAGTCGAGTTGCAAGTCTTTTTATATTTTGTCAAGTCGAGTCTAAAGTCATCAAATTCATGACTCGAGTCTGACTCGAGTCCAAGTCACATGACTCGAGTCCACACCTCTGGTGATTGATAAACAAAAAAAAAGAGGCTTGCTTGACTATATTTTCTTTTGGTCAGTTAGTCAAATAAAAGTATGTTATGTAGTTTGTTAGCACCGGTCTGGCTGATCCACATGCAAATAATTATGTCATGAAAACAATCAAAATTGTAGTGACCTTATAAAGGGTATAGGATTACTTTGGTGTGGATCAGAGCACAATTTCCAAGTACTGTACAAGCAAACCACACTAAGGATAGAAAGTTATTAGGTTCTTAAACAAATTCTCTACAAAACCCAAAACACTCTTTATTGCCATCTAAAAAAGATTTCAGGTAAGAAAGTTACCTGTTGTATAGAAACAAAAGTGTAGTTCATTATTATATATGACTCAGCTCATGACGCACAGGGTTGATCTCTTCATTTTTCCATCTTTTTCCATCTCGTTCACTCTTCAGGCCTGACAGCTTTTTGTGGTCCATTACAGAGATGACACACAGCACTCGATTCCCCCTCTCTATATCTCTGTCTCTCGGCGTGTCATGTATATTCTGCCAGAAGACAGGAGAAAAGGATATATTTAGCTGAGATGCAGGGATGTTTTTGCAGTCATTATTTTGTGTGGTGTTTGCCGAGGCTTATTTGGACTTGGAAACGTGTGAAGTGTGAGCTGGAGCCGTGCTGTTCTCCTCCATATGCTCCAGAGTGGCATTTGTTCAGAGAGAGACTTTATTGACTGAGCCGGTTGTGGCTCCTAAGAGAGACAGAAAAAGGAAAGAGCGAGAGAGAAAAAAATCTGCATGTGTCCAAAAGGTCTTTCTTGACCTTTCCGGTTGATTGTATTTTTGAAGTCATCTTTGAAAGTGTAAATACGACTCAAGTTCTAGCAGTTACATCATTGCTAAGTCATTCGCTCAGTAAAAAAATTAGATCAAATTACCACCTTCAGATTTATAGAAACAGAAAAAGACTAACAGATACAGTATCAGTCATGATGTTCTGATACCCTGATAGTGATTGGCTGAGTGACGTTGCTAGATATTGGCCGGAACTGGAACACACTGCTGTATATGCCATTCCAGTGCATCCCAAACATGCTCAATGGTAGACATGATCGGCTGGACATGCAAGAACTGGGATGTTTTCAGCTTTCAGGAATTGCTTCATTGCTAAATGGCTAACATGGATTTTATTGAAAGAATAGCTGTGTTTATGTGCTTTAGGAAGGCTGTTAAACAACGTCGATTCATTTTGAGTCGTGTCTGAGTCCACTAGATCCATTCAGAGGTGCACCCAGCTTTGTGAGTTCAACAACTTCTCCAGAAACTACCTGGATGATGGAAGCTTTTAGCGGTGCTTACGACTGAGCCGAGACCAGTGTGATGAGCTGTTGTCCAGTGTCGGCAAGAGGATTTTTCCCTGGGACACCAACAATTGGCACTAAGTCATAATCACGCCCCCTATAAGAGCAAGCTCTTGAATGCTTGCGGTGAATGTCTGCTGAAATTTAGATTTTCCAACTGGAGCGATTCACTCAAAACACTCAACTCGCGCCACTTCATTCGAGTCATTCGCACCGCCTCGTTCGCGCATCTCGCGCCGCAAGATGTCTATTTACGTCTTTGTATTGACTTAACATGTAAATCACTGGCGCTTGATGCTCCTTCCATGTCTGGTGTGAATGCAGCATTAGTCCTTAATATTACTCGCAGTGAGCTAGAGTATTTTTTTGATTATTATTTGATATACATTTAATAAACTGTAATATAAACTGAAAAGGGTATTTTAGTTTCACATTATAACTATATAAAAGCAGTTCAGCAAATAAATATAAGAAATAAAAAACTAAATCTAAATTACACATTTTTACTGGCTGGTTGGTTAAAGTCTATAATGTTGCTAAACATCAGACATGCGTTGTTTTAATTTTGTCTTTGCACAATGTCCTTTGTTTGCTTTTTGAGCAGTGAAAAAGAATTGATTTCTGGGTTGCAGTGTTAAGCAAAGCTAGCGGACATAACTATATGTCTTGTTGTAACACTTTAGAATAATGGTCTTTTAGTTAGTGTTTGTTAATGAATTTACTAGCATTAGCATTATATGAATAATCTTGTAAGGCATTTATTAATTATAATTCAGCAAAAGCTGTACTTTTTAGTATTAGTTAATGCACTGATTTAACATGAGCTAACAATATTTAACTTAAACAATGTTAACTAACATTAACAAAGATGAATAAATGCTATAATAAATGTATTACTAATTGTTTGTTCATGTTAATAAATACATTAACGTTAACCATTGTTTTAAAGGGTTAACCTTGTTTAAAAACTTAACTCTTCGATTAATGGGTTCAACTACTTGCAGATACCCACGCCAGGATTGCTTTGTGTATCCGGTGCATTTCCGATACTAATATCAGAATTGGAACAAACCTAGTCACGATTGATGTGCTTTTTCTGTATTACAGAATTGAGGCCAAACACCAGGAATTGAGGGAGCGCCAGGGTCGAGATCGCTTCTCTCCTCCTGATTTGGAGGACGATGACCTGGACCCAAACTATGCTCGCATCAACAACTTCAAGGAGCGTGGATCACCTTCCCAGCCGCTCTACGGGAACCGCAGCCCCTCTCCACAGAGACCTCTGGCCCCAGTGTCCCACAGTAGAGAACCGTCCACTGAAGACCCACTGGATGGCTTGTACGCCAAAGTCAACAAACAACGGAGCCCTCCACCTCCTGCTGCAGACAGGTAGACAATATGCATACATCACAAAGATGTTTAGAGTCATGGGGCTCTATTTTGACGGTCCATGCGCAGAGCGCAAAACGCAGGGCGCAAACAATTTCAGGGCGTGTCAGGACGCGTTTTTGCTAATTTAAGGACGGGAAATCTGCCTTGCGCTGCGGCGCATGTTCTAAAAGGGTTGAGTTTATTTTCTTAATGAGTTATAGGTGTGTTTTGAGAATAAACCAATTAGAGTCTCATATCCCATTCCCTTTAAGAGTCAGCTGCGTCGCGCCAAGAGCACATTCGCTATTTACAGGACCAAAAAGTAAGTCTAAGTGGAAAAAATGAGCATTTCACAAGCAAACAGTTAACAGTTTTTTTAACAGAAAACTGTTAAACAGAGCATCTACTGCGTGAGAATGAGAGATAATGGAACACTTTCACTTTCGCTCTTGGATAAGGAAACCTTTATGCACAGACATCAATTAGTCTATAAATAAATACTTTTGTTTGTTAAGCGCAAATATTCGTTTCAAAACTATTTCTAAATTCAGTTCTAATTTCCAGCAAACTAATAAATGAAAAATAATAGCAAAATGTGCTCAAAAACCTGAGTAATATCCTAAAACACATGATGTGCCCCATATGGTCTAAAACCTGACAGGTGGGCAAATCTAAGCTTGTTTTTAATAAAACAAATATAAATATGGATATAATAAATAATATTGCTAATAATAATAACATTATACAAAAGCCAATTGTTATAAATGAACTGAAAAAGCCTCCCGAGATGAAGAAGACATAAAAGCAGTGGTTTTTCATATTTATGTAGGCTAGAAAATAATATGTTTTGTAATATTTTAATCTTTTATATTTATATTCTATGTCTATTCTTATTATATCCTATATATATCCTTAATATTTACATTTTTTTTCATATGTAAAGATATTTGCCTATTGCTCTCTTGTGCGTATTAAGCAGTGCGTAAGCGAGGCGCAACTCTGCGCCGGAGTTTAGACCGGGTTTGTTTTGGTCTAATGAAAAATCTATTATAGATTCTTAAAATAGCAACGAGCCAGCGGTCCGCCTCAGAACGCCTTCCTTTTTAGACCAGAACGCCTATGGGCGCAAAAATGAGCGCTAATGTATTTGCTATTTAAACAGCGTAGTGCAATGCCTCAAAACGACTCTTGCGCCAAGCTGAAACTACCAAAAGACTACTGCGCCACACCTTGCGCCCCACTGCGCCGGGTGTATGATAGGGCCCATGTAGTCTCAGGATAAGACAACTGACAGCTATTGCAAATCAATGCATAGTGTTTAATTCAAGTCAGCAGTTCAGAACAGTTCCTTTAAACACCAAAATCCTAAAGTTATTATACAGTTGAAGTCAGAATTATTAGTCCCCCTGAATTATTCTCCCCCTTGTTTTACTTTTTCCCCAATTTCTGTTTAACAGAGGGAAGCAAAGAAAATTTGCTATGTGATCAAGTAAAAACCTAAATACTCATTGCTGGACATTAAATTGATTTATTTTAAAAGTTCAGTTTAAGAACGAACACGGCCTTGATCATTTTGAATAGACTTTAGATTTGCACCCTAAAATACATAAATAAATAAAGGTTGTTTATTGGCATCCGGCATTCCATGAAGAATCTTAACATCCATAGAACATTTCCATTGAATGAAAGTTTCTTTATAGACAAAATTTGTTTTAGATTATTTAGATAATCTTTGCATGAAGAAAAAAAATTATTTGTTATGAAGATTTGACTCATCGGGCAACCAAAAATGGTTCTTCGAAGGATATTGAATCTTAATCCCCTTTTGCGACCATTTAAAAGAGATGTAACTGCAACAAGTAAGCATTTGCAGCATGAACCAACACCTGGAATGGGTTTTGTTAGTGAATTTTCAAAGGACTGTTTTGATCGCTGAATGATTAGAGTACTCATTGTAAAGGCTTTAATTTATTATTTATGTTATTTTAATTTAGTTTTCATGTGATTACGGAAGAACGGAAGAGATCTGATCAGTGTCATAACTATTGAGTGTAGGGGTGGGCGCCAAGATATTATATCATGAGTAATTTTACATCAGTTTTTGCTGGAAAAAAACAAAAACATGGTTTATGTAACTAATGACCACACTGTAATGTCTATTGATGATTTGCAGAGGTGACCCAGAGCTTTTGAACTGGAGTGTACTTAACAAATTTCATCACTAACATCAGAACAAACCATCTGGCATAAGTGCTTTCTACTTGATTTAAAGCTGAACGATGTGATTGGATGAGTCACATATGAAGCTCTTATATATGCACACCTGTGGTGCATGTCAACCAAATGCTATTTTAATAAACCAAGTTGCTCAGCAACCATAACGAAACCATAATGCCCAGTAACACACTTTAATAACAAGGTCTTCCTCGCCTTGAGTTGTAATTCTCATAACCTTAAGACACTTGTAAACCCAGAAGAGCTGCTCTAATATTGATTCTCTCCTTCTTTCTTGACACATAAGCTCCAGTTCTGGCAGAAGTTCAGCTCGGTCAATTGAAAATCAGGAATATGACAATGAATTATGGATACCTGAATATATTGGTCCCATAGAATGCCAAAAATGTAAAGCTCAATTTCTCAAAACTAGAGACAGAGTCTTATAATTCCAAAGCTGCAATTTTATCCCAAAAAGTTTCATTTGTACAAAGTTTAAGTATGAGAGTCAATTTTTGGTCAAATAATGTAAAATATAAGAAAACTCATTTATTTGTTCAAAGGTAAAGGTGTAGTTCAGCTCATTAGGGATAGACATGTCATATATTTCCCCGTATGACACACTGTATAGCCAGGTTATTCTTCCAACCTCAAGTTTGATAAATAATCTGCTTCATTTCCCCACCTCTGGCTTCTCACAGTCCGCCGGTTTGAATAATGCTTCATTTCTATCCCCTGCTCTGCATAAGGGAAGTATTTTGAGTGAATTCATGCTGATAAGCTGCTGATGGGTAAATTGAGGATGTGAATGAGAGCAGCATCAGTGACTCCGGTGTCAGTGTGAGCACGCTCTCGTGTCATTTGAAGAGTTTGTTAAACGGGAGAGTTGCTGTTGTATGGCCAGGGTCTGATTTAAAAGCGCCCTCTGAGAGTCATTAAAGCGCCTCGGTTATTTAGAAGGACAGACAGTTTAACACACAGCCTGTTGCTCACCACTGTCATAAAAAAAGTGTCTCTTAGTTTGTGGAGTGGCTTATGTGGTCGCTGGTGAAGTACAGCAGGATCCTGTGCTTTTATGGCATAACGTTTTGGGAGTCATGTTTGGTTTTTGAATAATTTATTTGTGTATATTTTAATGTTTTTATTATTAATATTATTTGAACTTTTTTCAATGTCAAATTATATGATATTGTTCTCCCTTGTAATCTAAAAAACTAAATAAATAAATAAATTAACTTGGAGCATATCATGGAATTGAATCATGCTTAGTAAGGATGCACTAATATGAAAATTCTAGGTTCACTTGGCTGAAAAAATGAAACCAAAAATTCTTTGTGGTAATTATTTAATATTTTATTTTATAATAAAAAGTGTTTTTTTTTCCAAATAAATTATAATTATACTGATTTTAAAAAAACACAAGCTGATAAAATAACCTCATTTTTTCACAGTGAACAAAGCATCATTTTACCAGCAATGCCATGACAGCGCTCATTGGCAAGAAGTATACTACATAAACACCATTATTTGAGCAGAATCATTATTTTGTGGTGAGCTTGTGTGGTGCATCAATGAGTATATGGTTACATGATAATTTTCTAGGTGTTTGACAGTTGCTCTTTCTCTTTGGTCAGCACAGAAACTGGCCTAGCTATCGAGATTGAGTTTAATACTCTCACTTCATAGTACAGAACTTTCTGTGTCTGGTGTGAAAGCCACACTGAATAGAAAATATTCACACTGAATAGACACTACAACTGAAAGGAAAGTGAAACTAGCGTACTAACCATTTTTCAGCTCATATTTTCTTTAGGTTGAAAAAAACATTTTTTTGCAAATAATTAATGATGTCCAAAACGTGATGCATCCTTAATGTTCAGTCTCTTGTAAGTTACATGTGCTTGAGTGTAAGCATTAAGAAGAAATTAACAGCAGCAGTTAACTTAACAGTTTCACTTGTAACAAGGGATCCTACATATAGCCTCTTTAAAGCAATAGTTTACACAAAAATGATAATTCTGTCATCATTTATTCTCCCTTCACTTGATCTAAAGCTGTTTGAATTTCTTTCGAATTCGTGGCTTGTCATTTTTCACTCCTCCATTGGCCGCACCCATACTTACATCCTCGTTTTCTACAAATTATCTGCACAACATTAAAAGCATAAGACTTCTCAACTGCACATATTCTGTGTTCAGTTTCAACCCATCTCTTCTTGCAGGAAGTTAACCTGCCGAGTTATCAATATTATTAATTATTAATTCTTTTGGCAATCAGGCCTTTGAATTGCCATCAGCTTCAACTTCTGCAAAAATGCTTCTTTAGTATGCAAGGCATATCACACTCTGGAAGAAGTTTAGTTAATATATCACCTTTAAGCAGTACAAATACAATTGTTTAATGAAAAGAAAAAGAGACAAAAATATATTTTTAAAAATATTCATTTTTTCACAACATATTGTTGAACATAAAAGAAGGTATTTTGAAATTGTGTACTTTCGAACCAGTAAGAATTAATTGCACTCTGTTAAATATATATATATATATATATATATATATATATATATATATATATATATATATATATATATATATATTTTTTTTTTTTTTTTTTTTTTTTTTTTTTTTTTTTTTTTTTTTTTTTTTACTACAGATGTCAATGGCTGTCAGTTTTCACAACAACAACATTTCTATTTATGCCTGGTCTAGCTAAAAATGTAGAGGGAACTTTGCATTGTAGTCTGTAAACACTTAAATAGCAAAAGCAATTAAAACTGGCTTTGGTGAGTAAATAAAACTGAGCT